TACTTGTTTTACATGGAAATGTGGCCGACAAGCTATGGGCCTACCAAGATAAGGTTTCTGGTCATTCTACCCATTCAACCATCGTACATTTCAACTAGGTGGAGAATGAAATGTGTATTCATGCTATTATTTATGAAAACATACCGGTGATGTTGCTGGATATAAAGTCTGCAAGTTTCTTGTGATTAGACCGTTGAAATTCGCACTGGAAAACTTATCTTCCTACACTAGATTATGGAAAGCAGAAAAGAGGGAATTTCGTGCTTTGGGCATAATAGCCTTGATATCACTCGACTCAGTATTACTATGAGAAACTAATACTACATTTTTTATAATTTTACAGTTACTTTTATTTGCTTGTATTTAACAACACTAAGATAGCTTTTCTCTTTACATTGTAGCTAGCTTTTTGTGTACATTATTGCACTGGTATTCTACCATCCAGCTGCTGAGTTGATGGTCATACAACCTAAATCAGAGCAATAAATAGGTTAATATAGTCCCAAAAGTAACTATTTTTTCCAGCTATTTCTCCACTAGTTACTGGACCATCTAAGGATGAACTACTAAACTTATCATCAGGAGAAGACCTCTCTGACAAAGTTACCATTCCAGAGATTGACGCTCAACTTCTAGGAACAATGGAACAGCGAATTACAACCACGTCAACACCAACCACCCTCATAGACTCAAATAAAGAGATCGAGTTTTTCATAGTGTTCTACTAAGAAATGAGTAACCGTTTTCCATCAAACAAATAAATGTAGTCACATCTCTGGGTTTACCATGTCTGCAAGAAAGTTCAAATGTGTTTCCTATTTGCCTAAGTGTAACCGAGAAGAAACCCATAATCTCAATGCATATCCAAGATAGCTATGATCAGACTCTAAGTACAAGACATAAATGGAAAGATTAATATACACTCCTATCCAATTGAAAGCCAACTCAAAAACAACTATCACAATAATAAGGAAGGTGAATAGTCAGTTCTATTAGAAACCATAGACATCAACCCTCAGAAACTGGAAACTACTAATCACAATACTTAGAATCATCCCGCAAGTCATCCTGTGAATTTAAGCAGAAGATTGTATGGAAGTACACATTTTCAGTGCCCATGCAGAAACTCTTGATAAACTATGCCAATGTGAAGCAACCCAGTTGGAGCTGAAGAAGTAGAGAAATCTAACTAAAGCTATTTCCAGCACAGGAAGGATTTCCAGCTTTCATAGAGAATGAAGTGAGAACCGAACGGTGGATGATAAGTGTTTGGCTTGTTATTGTTATACATTTTCAGATGGACCTAAAGGGGTTGTTTGTTTGAGCTGTAATTTGTGCATTACCAAAACAGGAGAAAAGTGTTTGAAGAACCTAATATATTGTTTTGCTGTTAAATCGAAATAAAAGCTGTGCTTGGGAAATAAATATGTCATAGTGAGTTAGTAAATCAAGCCATATACCAAATGGGTGAGAGAAAAACATGAGATTGACAAAGTTGTTCATACTCATCATTTACATATTATTTTTTCAGTCTTGAAATATTCGTTTACTTTAAGCGCAAAACTGCACAATATGCTATCTGTGATGTATTCACAACGGGGACTCAAACCGAATTGTGGCTTTGTAAGCCAACGGGTATATATTTATAAAAAAAGAAAAACAGAGAGGAGGTTAATAGTTATTTTTAAAAGCAATATATGTGTATAACGCAACATAAAATAATAAAAATATGTAAATACTGGTGAGTATCAATAAAAAAGGGGATAAGAGAGCAAGTATTTAAGTAAAAGTTTATATATCGTTTAAAGTGTGTAAAATGTAAACTATTGAAAAAATGAGCAAATGTGAAAACTAAAATATTAAATAATATCCATGTTCAATGTAATTTTTTGTCTAATATAACGTGTAGAGTTATAAAACGTATAAGTTGGTAAAACAATAGCTTGATTATTATTAACTTGGTTCAGTAATGTTATAGAAACAAATTTGTGATTGCTCAATGATATATTTTATTCGTTTCCTTTTCTGGATGCATGTATATATTTCTTTCTGTGTATATATATATATATATATATTTATTGCCCACTGTAATGCTGACTTGAACCCAAATCTAAATTATTTGTCTCCATTGGATTTTATATTCTTATAATTATTATTATTATTCGACCAACCTTAGACTAAGTTACTATTTAAGACATTTCTTTTATTTTCATAAATTTACTTTAATGAATTCTTATATTTTGTTATTATGAAATTAATATATCATAGAGTGGTGATATAGGGTATGATGCCTGCTACTTCATTTACTATATAGTATTTAGTTTTATATTTCCTTTTGTAATGCCTTTGTTTTATGTTCCTTTTATTTCGATTTGGTTGATGCTGCATTGTCCTCCGGTGGCTCAGCGGTAAGGCCGAAGCCTTATAACGCTAAAAACCGGGTTTCGATACCGGTGGTGGGCACAGCACAGATAACTCATTATGTAGGATTGTGCTTAAAAATGAACAAACAAACGAACAATGATGCTGCTAGATTAGTGTAGGATATGAGTTTATAATAGTCTATTTTATTAGCTCTCATTGTGTTAAGATAGAATTAAGTTAGTTGTTGGATTAGAATGTTTTGCATTCAGAGTAGCTTGTGTTGCTACAGTGAGTCTGCATTACTAATGTCTAATGTAAAGACTAACGTGGCTGACTATTTAGCTCTTTTGTGGACAAATTAAGAATAAGATAGTTAAGTTAGTTTGCTTCAGGTTAAACTAGAGAGCACCTGTGCTTAGTTCTTTACTCCTGGGAATTGAGTGTTAACTATAATTAATTCAATATCGATACTATGATCATATTTATATCATTTTAAGTCAGTTATATACGTCTTTTATTATTATGATCATAAGTGATATGAGATTATGTGGCTTTGATTATGGTATTTAATGCCATAACTTTGAACTGAACTGGTTGATTTTTCATTTTATTTTAACTAACAGTTATGATTTGTTTGTTTTCATTGTTATTCTCTTGATTTAATGATGTTTATATAGTATGCCTTTCGTGAGGTTATTTAGTGCATTGTCTATGTGGAGCGTTATGGAATCGCCTTTAAGTGTTTTTGTATCGTGAATTGTAAGTTGTACATGCTTTGTCTAAAATTGACGTTAATATTCTGGATAACAGGTTCTAATTTGAAATTATAATTTGACTTGAAGTCAGACTGAGGACCATCTTAAGATGAAGTACGCGGATATAGATGCATTCCCACTTGTACAACTTTAAAAATCATGTTTTACATCATATACATATATTCAAAACTTTTCTTATGTCCTAATTCCAAGTTTATATCTGAATCTGATTTGTTAAGATATTTTAGATATAGTGTGATTTAAATTTTCCCTGTCAGTCGCTTGAATAAATCAATGGTCGATAACATCTAAAAGTATTTTACTTGCTAGTCAGTAAACGATTTTACTCGATGAAAATCAATATTTGGTAAAGAAAAGATAAGTAATATTATACTGTAACAAAAAATACCCTACTGAAGAGAGTACTTTAAACTTTTTATCGAGAGCCTTACTTAGCATTCATGCCTATTTCAGCTATTTATCATATAGCCCCCAGTTGCACAGCGGAATGCTTGCGGACTTACAACGCTAGAATCCGGGTTTCGATACCCGTGGTGGGCAGAGCACAGATAGCCCATTGTGTAGCTTTGTGCTTAATTACAAGCAAACAAACTGTTATGAGAAATAAGCGCACAAGTAACCTCTTTTTTCATAATGAGGCAAATTAATACAAGTAAGCTTAAAAATAACTTTGTACGTTTGGTCAAGTCCAATTTTGACAGCTGCACAGTTGCTGACTGATCCAGTAAACATAAAACATGTTTTCTAAACTAATACTTCTATTTAAAAAGCACTTTAATACAGAAAAAATTGCGCAACTAATTTTTGGCAATGTATTATACAGTGAGCGATATGTAGTTAACGTTATTAATAAAACTGGAGATATTTATGGAAATGAATAATGAAGCTACAGTCATTCCAAGCATTCCGAACGTTTCGGACTTTTCTCTCTCGATAAATAAACAGATTATATTCAACCATTATTATAGCCCATAATTCCGTTTTCTTTAAATTGACTTTAAAAATGGGCGATACATGTTGTGAAATTATATTGAAAAAAATAAAACTATTTTTTATAGTTTAATACTAAAACAATTTTATTTATTAGCCTTAACCCTTCGGATTTTATACCTTAGCATGTTAAATTCAGTGAGAAGAATTTGTATAACTATTCATCTACAACATGAAATTATTAATGGAAATCACAAATATAGTATTGAAAGGACATAAATGACATAACACTATTCTCCTAATATCTGGCTAATCTACAACATGAAATTATTAATGGAAATCACAAATATAGTATTGAAAGGACATAAATGACATTACACTATTCTCCTAATATCTGGCTAATCTACAACATGAAATTATTAATGGAAATCACAAATATAGTATTGAAAGGACATAACACTATTCTCCTAATATCTGGCTATCTCACAATTAAGCCAAACATGTCAATATTCTTGTAAATGTGTAAACTGTCCCGACCAGTGCGTAATATTATCAATGTCCTCATTAAATACTCCTTTTATTCAGCAGTATATTAATCAACTAGGCTTTATTTCTAGACGACAGAAACTTCAAACCAGCTTGTTGATAAAGGTTACAAGAATGAATAAGTACACACGTTATCCAATCTACATACTTAATGAGAAGATGGATCGCCGTCGCCTGGATGATGTGCAAATGATAAGTGAGAACTTTGTTTACACTGGAATAAAAAGACCGCTTGTTAAAAAGAAATCAGGGTAGAATATTCATATAGCTTCGAAGAAATATTTTACTGAAATTCTCTAATGATGTTATGGCATTTTCAAATGCATAAGAGATTTAGTTAATAAAGTTATCACGTAAATATTGTTCAAAAAAATGTTAACTCACCTTCCAGCTTTAGTCACGATCATCTCTGTTTCCATCTGATTGAATTCTTCCCACAGTGATTTCATTTCTAAAGTACAATTGACGCTCACCAGCTTGGGATGCATGGGCTTATTTGGGCTATACGAAGGGTCAGAATTAACAGGAGACTGTGAACAGCTCCCGTGTTCTTTAAAGTCCTGGACGTCAAATGTGTCAGCCGTGTAGGACCGGTAAGCCTCCGCCAAACTCAGTCTTTCCGTACTAGTATTTAGAAGGAGTGCTGTAAGAGAAGAATTAAAAGTTAGACGAGTTAGAAATTATGATTTAATTTAATTCCACTATCACGATAATGATGATAAATTCACGTGAAAAAGAATCCTGTCGTCTAGAACGTGATCATTGCAAGTTAACTATATTTATTCTTGCCAATTTGTAAGTAGTTAATCTGACTAGTCCTAAGTGTCACTATATGTTTACTATATGTAACTGCCCTAACAGTTACTACATAGGGCTGCACCAAAACTCAACTACTTTTCAAGTGATGGCAATTTGATGGCTGTATCTCAATAAACTGATAATACTAATTATGGTTTTGTTTGAAACTCGTGTATCATCCTAAGTATAGTCCAGTCAATTTTATGTAGAGGAAAAAGACGCTTGATTTGGTTCGGTTGTTGTACAAAGCAACACAATGGTCTGTCTGTGCTCTGCCCACAACGGAAGATGAAACCCAATTTTATTGTGGTAAGCCTGCAGACTTACCGCTGAGCCACTAGGGGAGAAGGGTGTGTGTGCAAATATGCTTTAAAATTTTGTTTAATAAAATATATATCCAAGATATATTAAAAATAGAGATGTGTAAAGGATGAAGAATATGAAGAATCGATTTGTTTGGTAAATTGGCAAACATCCAGGTGCAACAAGTATTTGGTTTGTCACATCTACCCGGTCACCTTAACGGATTAACTAATGCATAATTTTATATTTAGTTTGTCACATCTACCCGGTTACTTCAACGGATTAACTAATGCATAGATTTATATCTAGTTTGTCACATCTACCCGGTTACCTTAACGGATTAACTAATGCATAATTTTATATTTAGTTTGTCACATCTACCCGGTTACCTTAACGGATTAACTAATGCATAATTTTATATTTAGTTTGTCACATCTACCAGGTTACTTCAACAGATTAACTAATGCATAATTTTATATTTAGTTTGTCACATCTACCCGGTTACCTTAACAGATTAACTAATGCATAGTTTTATATTTAGTTTGTCACATCTACCAGGTTACTTCAACAGATTAACTAATACATAACCTTATATTTAATTTGTCACATCTACCGATCTTATCAGCTATCCTTATATTTTTCTCACGTTCTTAATAGAAAATAGGTTATTAGTTAACTCATTTGGATACGGATTATTTTACAGATTCTAGAATTTTTTAATATCATTTATACGTAAAACTTTCTTAAATAATAATGCAATTTAGGTTCAAGGTTTCTAGATTTGCCATTGTTTTGTTTCGGAGTTATTATAATTATTAAAAATTTCACAAGAACTGCTTAAAAGAGATATTTCGAATGACTGAAAATAAAACTTTCTTGTGATATCAAGAATGAAACTAGATTCGATTTAGAAATTAACTCAATAGTCCCATCTTTAAAAAATATTATATTTGCTATTTTGATTCAAACTTGAAGCCCGGCATGGCCAGGTGGTTAAGGCACTCGACTCCCCATCTGAGGGTCGTGGGTTCGAATCCCTCTCTCACCAAAACATGCTCACCCTTTCAGCCGTGAGGGCGTTATAACGTGACGGTCAATCCATTTTCGTTGGTAAACGAGTAGCCCAAGAGTTGGCGGTGGGTGGTGATGACTAGCTGCCTTCCCTCTAGTCTTACACTGCTAAATTAGGGACGGCTAGTGCAGATAGCCCTCGTGTAGCTTTGCGCGAAATTCAAAAACAAACAATCAAACTGGAAAAATACAGTGCAAGCCAGTTTGTTTCAAAACGTTTTGTTAAAGTTTGTTGTTTGTCAAAATATACAGTTTAATTTGTCTATTTGTTGGATTTCACGCAAAGTTAGTCTATGTACGCTTGCCGTCCCTACTTTTGGAAGAATAGACTAAGGGAAGGTAGCTAGTTAAAACCACACACCGCCAACTCTTGGAATTCTCTTGCCAGACCTAATATTGGAATTGTATCCTTATTGTTATTACACACTAATGGTCTCAAAAAGGGGAGCTCATATTTTTTGTCTGTTTGTTTGTTTTTCTTTTCTTGCGGTAACGGGGCGCGAACCGCAGAATCTCAGCTTCATAGTCCGGCACACTAATCATTAGGCCACGCTTTGCCCGTGTGGATAATGTTTTCTAAGATAGGATACTTCTTAATGCTTAATTATAGAAAAGAAAAAATATATATTTAGTATAATCAACAAACTTTACTTATACTTTCGCGTAGTTATTTTAAACTTAAATTTAAATGCTTGAAAAATAATGAAGGAACGTTTAGTTTCCATTTTTTTGAAACACATGTAGAAAATTGTTGTTGAAATATAAGAGGGGCAGACCAATGCATATTATTTATTTACTATACAAAAAAAAAGTTCTTAATAGTAAAAACATAAATCTCAATTGCTTTATAAAGTATACTGCAAAGTCAGGACATGCGTTAAAAAATAAAGAATATGATTTCTTATTCTCAAAAATACCACATAACCTCTTTTTTTATATATCTATGTCAAATTATCAAATACCATATAACCTGTTTTTTTAATATATCTATATCAAATACCATATAATTTATTTTTAATACATCTATATCAAA